TGTGTGATGATGTGTGTCATCCAGACAGTGTCACTAATGAGAGCAGAGAACAATCAGGACGGATTTTCCCCTCATTCCCGACATTCAGCCTGTTAGCTTGGTGCCATTTAAAGTCTCTGACAGACACTCCTGACGTTCCTGGGATATTTAACCTTATTTGTGTCTGTTATTAAGAGCACAGTATTGTTGTTCAGCAGCTGCAGATTCAAACAAAGATAAAGGATTCTTGAGCAAAGAAAAAAGGAAAGAAGTACCTTTGAAGAGTTCTCGGTTTCACAGTGAGAGGAAAAGCCTGTGAACGGTGCTGTAAACACAATTTTACTATAAACTGAAAACTCAGCGACAGAAAAATCTTGTTTTTACTGTGCTGATGTAAACTCACACTCATTATTTTAAAGCTTGTTTATCACTGTTTGGTTTTTTGCTATGACAAGAAGAGAGAAGAAAAGTCACGAACATGTAAATTGTGTCTGTTTCACTTATTTCATTAGAAAAGAAAACCCTGAACTCCCTGCGTGGGCTGTAACACACAAACACGTCATCAGAGCCACGAGGGGGTCCATGCAGTGTCCGAATACTGAACACCAAATATATCAGTAAAAGTATATGTCATCATGTCGTGGTAGCAACAGCTGATTGGTTGTCAGTCTGTGTGATCAATCATGAAGTTTAACACTGAAATCAGGATTTAGAAGATAAACTCAGCGATCATAAAGCAGGACGAGGTTTGTTTTTAAAATTCAGATTTGAGCAGAATTCCAACAAATGTGCGGTGAGAACATCAAACACACAACTGCCTGTTTGACTCAATGGATCGTTTTGGATTTGTGCTTTTAGTCGGATCTTCTCGAGCTTCAGGTGGTGGTGGGGAAAGCCAGACGCCGGCCACCTCGGACACGGCCCTCCACGGCATCACTAGCACGGCCACGAACAGGTCGGACACGGCCAGAGAGATGACGAAGGCGTTGGTGACTTTGGAGCGAAGGTGGCGGAACTTGATGACGGCGGCGCACACCAGCGCGTTCCCCAGCAGCGTGGACACGATCAGGACGCACAGGACGCATCCGGTGAGCGCGCGGAGGCTGAGGTCACTCCCGTGCGCGGGGCTGTCCGCTGCCGCCGTGACCACTGGGTGTTGGCTCTGGTCCTGCCGCTGGTTCCGCGTGTGGTTGTAGAAAGTCTCCATGGACACTCGGACTGTCCCTCCCTCCCTCAGGTATACTCAGTCCACGCGACAACACTTATATATAGCGCACGTGAAACGCACACTTCAAATGTTTCGGTCTGTAAAAGAACAACAACAAAAAAAACAACAACCCCGAAACAAAATCACCTCCAGGCTGAAGTGAAATATCTGAACCGAAGCGTGGAAAGTTCACGCGGAGTTCGTTTGCTTCAGTTTCTTTATTTTTAACGTGCCTGCTCTCCTGTTCACAGGTCACGGGAGAAACAAACACTTCCACTCACTGTTTAACAAACTTTGGAAACAGCAGTTTCATTAACGAGTGATCCGGTTCTCCGGAGCAGACCCAGGCACCGTCTGGACACGTCTCCACCCGTCGCAGCGCTAACAGGTAGACAGAAGCACCAGCCGACCCGACGTGTGCGTCCCACTGTGGGAGGGTACCTGCAGAGAGCCACAGACACTCTAGCCAGGCCCGGAACCCCTGCTGCTGCTGCGCACACCTGTCTGTGCCTGTCAGGGTCTCCCAGGTGTCCGTCTGCGTTACCTTTAATGGACCCGCGACCTCCGCCCGGGGATCAGCTGGAGCAGTAATTAAGCTCTGTGTTGGTTTCTTTGACAGAAATCTGAAGGTTTCCCGTTTTTCTTCAAGTTCACGTGTGTCTGATGCGGATCCACAGCAGCTGCTTTCAGAGAAGAACTCATCGGAGTGAGGAGGAGGAGG